GAGCATATTTGGATCACTCGGCGATTGAGGCTAGCAGGGAGCTGGGGATCGAACCCAGGATGTGTTGTATTTGGGCAAGGTCATCTCGCCCCTTTGACTTGTATGTTATAGATTTGGGATGTCAAACAAAATAGAAGACTTTTACTTATAGACTTTTTCCTAGAAAATCTGTAGCTAAAAGGATGATTCTTCACAAAACCGTCATAAAAGTTGGTGGGTAAACTATCGACAGGCAATTCAAAACAGTGATAGATTACCCAATTATTCTCTGGATGATCCGTTGGTATTTTCTTGAAATATATCGGATTTTACCGGAACCATTGGTATTTTCCGGATGATCCGTCTGCAATCCCGGGAGGAAAAATTCTCTGATTGATTTTTGTGGATAAAAATCATTTGTCTTGTACTGTTTGTATGATTCAGAATATAAAATTCCATTTTTTACAAATAATTTAAAAATAATAAAAATATTTTTTTTATTAACTATTTATTTAAGAAAATGTTTTAACATATTTTAAAACATCATTATAAGCAAATTTTATGAAATCCCGCGAAATACCAACTTACCCGTTAAGATTTCAAAATCCTACGTTTATAAGATTTCAAATCTAAAAAATCTTTCGAACCAAACATGAGATTGAAATGAAATTCAGTACCAAAACCCTTCAATTCCAATATAATCCTGCAAACCAAACGAGACTGATGTTATCATTTGGTTTACTTAAAAAATGTATTATAACCACTTATTTTAAAACAACAAAAAAATAATTGATTATTTAATTTTAATTATTTAATATTATATAATTACTTTTGTCATTCTCATAAAGACTCCTATAACCACTTTTTCCAAAAGATTTATAATTATTATATTTTAATTTAAAATCATATTAATTCAAATTCCAGATATCCATTAACACCACCAAATACCAATAGTCAACCAAGTAGTCAACCTTTCACTATCATAGCCCAAAAGGCAGCCCGGTATTTTTGGGCCATATTTTAGATTGAGCCCAATATTGTATAGAACTTGACCCGGCCCATAAAGAAATCTTGACCCAGACTTTATTGAGCTTCGTATTTTATATGCAATATTACAATACTTATTTTCATGAAAATTTAAGATAATAAAATTATTATTATTATTATTATTATTATTATTATTATTATTATTATTTATAGAACCTTTTGTAAATGAAGAATTGTTTTTCAAATCATTTTTATAGGATTCATTTTAGCATAACTCTCAGGGTTTATTGTCACTCAGGGTTGTTTGTTTATCTATTAATAGTTTAATTAAGAGATAATTTTTGAATCGTTAAGAGATGAATTTTGTTTGACAAAAAAAAAGTCAGTCTCTTAATGGTTCCAAGACCCTCTAAATGATTTTTTTTGTATCATGTATCTCCCTTAACCATTCAGTGTTCTAATTTCATTGTAAACAATTGTATTTCATTTTGTACTATATCATAAGAGTCACTTAATCATTTTGGCCACTTAATCATTCTGTACCAGACTATTCAACAACTCTCAAAGAGCCTCTTACTCATTTGTCTCAAAATAAATATCCATAATAGAAAATACATATTATTTTAGAAATGTGTAATCGTAACACTTTTTTATTAACAAAAAGATAATTTTATCCTTAATGATAGAGATAAAAAAATTCTTCTAACAAAAAGACAATTTTACCCTCAATGATAGAGAGAAAAAAATTTATTCATCTCATAATTAAGGGTAGAATAGGAAGATAAACATTTACTTTTGAAAAAAATTCGTCCATTTTCAAGTTTCAAGCATTACGAGAAATTCAAGAACGATTCTGCTTTTTCATAGTATTCGTTAGATCTTTTCAATTTATGTCCAGATCTTTCGGTTCTCACAGAAAACTAACAACTCCATAAAATAAAGAAAATGAAGGAAATCAGTACTGAGAATGTGTATCACTTGTTCTTCTCGTGACTCGAATGTACAACAAAACAGCAACAACGCAAGCCATTACATACCCTCCAAGAATAAGATCAGCACCCGCTATTGATTTATTGGATTTGTGATGTAATGGTATCCGTTTGATTCCAGGAAACAGAGACCCAGAAACCGATGAATCTGGCGGTTGGCTTGGCTCTACGACCAGAATGAGCTCACCCTCTAGACTTCTCATCGCATACGTCTCTGTAATGAACGCAACGAATGTTGCAATGAAGAGAAGTAGAAATCTTGCAATGCCCATATCAGATATTTGAATGTAAACTGTTACGTTTCAGTAATGGTGATACAAATAAATATGTATATATAGATAAATATAAATATATGAGACAAAGTCTTTAGAGGGTTTTGTGGGGTTTGATTTTGTGTCTTTAGCTTTGAATATTGAAAAGCGACTTGTGAAAACTTCCAAAGAAATATGAGTTTGAAAATTTAACTTGGGAAGGTTGTATTTAGAACAAACTTTATCATGTAATTTAATAATATGTAATTTAATAAAAATCGTTTACCAAAGACTTATTCGATAAGTGTTTACGGGTAAAATTGAACATTATTACTTACTTACCGGATAAGATTTTAGTCAACCAAAACGGCACCGGATGCAATAATTTACCCGATAAGCTCTTACTGTGGTAAGAGTCGTCGCCTTCATTTACCAGGTAAGACACTTGTTCCTTGTCTCGCTCTTACCGGGTAAGATTCTTGGTTCTTGTCATATTCATCCGGTAAGATAATGTGACTTGGTAAGATCTTACCCGGGTAAACATTGTGTGTTTGGTACACAAACATGACAGAACAGTTGTTCAACGTTTAGTAAGACATGAGATGACAGGACATGACATGACGGGTTAAAATGACCAATTAATCTCCAGTGAGTTGTTTAGTGTTTTTTTTCACTAAATAATCAATCTAAATGTTAACAAATACTATTTAAAAATACAAAAAAAAATATCTAACATAAATATTAATTAAAAACTCACATTCATAAATCAAAAGATTTAAACACCATGTTTACCAACACAAAAGTTGAAATGCCAAAAAGAGGTTGGAGGAGAGATCGATTTGATGAAGGAGACGAGCAAAAAGGCTGACGGCAGACATCTGATGAATGGAGTTCAGGTTTTGTAATTTTAGGGGTATATTGGTCAAATGCTTCTTTGTTCCACTTACTTCTAGGGGGATAGGAGGGATACACGCGTTCCACATTTGTTCCAGCTAGTTCCACTTTGTTCCATATAAAGACATGTCAAACATGGGACAAATGTGTTATGTCTTGTCATGTCCTGTCTCATTCTGTTCAGCGTACCAAACGCACATTTGGTAAACAACGATTAATTGTTTATCATTTCCATATTTTCCAAAAAGTGAAATTCCAATCTTAAACAATAAGGATTATTGACAGGTTATTTCTTTTATTACAAGATATTTAATTAATTTATTATTTTTTTAATAAATAGAAACTATAATAAATCACATTTTTACCAACTTGTTTTTTGGATTTTTATGAAGAATGGTTTTGTCAAAAGCATATTTAGGCTGCATTTTGATGATATCCAAGTTACCATGAAAAAGATGTAATGGGTTTTGAGATTTTCTTTAAAAAAACTGTGTATAAATTACATAAAAAAATAACGTACTTTAATTTGATTCTTATTTTGAATAACGTATATTTATAACTTTTATTTTGGTACCTAAAATGTAAAATTTTAAACATTTAAGTATCCTGGTAACCGGTTGAAAACTAATTTTATATTAAAAAAATTAATGTCAATAACCACGTCAGCAAATAATATTGAGTTGGATACCACATCCCTCGTCATATTAGCATGATAACCGGCTAATATTTCAACCGATTACCCGAGTATTTTAAACGTTTAAATTTTACATTTAGGTATCAAAATGGAAGTTCTGAAAGTACGTTATCCAAAATAGAAATCAAGTTAAAGTACGTTAGTTTTTTATATTTGATGTGGATTTTGAGTTTTTTTCTAATTAAAATAATAGTTTTTTATCTATAACAAAAAGCGCAAAACATCACATAGTTGTATAAGAATGCACTAAAATCACAATTTTAAAAGAACTCTTAACAACATACATACATACATACATACATATATATGTATGTATGTAATATGATGTCAAAATGGTGGTAAGAGTTCTCATACTATGTTATAGGAGTGTTTAAAAACCCGACTAATTAATCCGATCAACCCAACACGAAATAACTTAACCCGAAGCAACCCGATATCTAATCAAGTTGTAAAATTTTCAAACCATAGGTATTGAGTTAATATTGAATTACTATTATTTGAACTCAATTCAACCCGATGAACCCAATAATCTTTTTCTTCTTGGATTTAATATGATTGTTGAGTTTATATTAATATGTACATTAGACAATTACACTATCATGTACCTTCTTCATATACACGTATTTTTAATCGATTCTCCATCTCTATATAACTCATTCGTATATATGTTCAGTAACTATGAACATATATATGTAAATGTGATATACGTAATATTTAAGAAGTATGGATAAGTTGTATCAAATGTTTGATAATGAAAAAGAAGTTATGAGTAAAGAAATAACATATTCAATGTTAGAAGAATATTTTAATGTACCAAAGGTATCAACCCGACCAACCCGTACGGTTTGGGTTGGGTTGAGTTAAGATTTTTCAAGACGCAAACATTAGGTTGAATTATTTCAAATGTCTTCAATCCAATCAATCCGGCCCATGAGCATCCCTACTGTGCTATATTGTGATACAAATTTAGTTGACCATTGATGATCATGGATATGAAGCTTGAACCCTAAGTTTCACTTGTATATTGCAAGAAGTATCTTATAGAACAAAGAAGAGAACAAAACAATATATGCTAAAACCAAGAAATACGAAATGACATAATTGACCCCTCAATGAAATACAAAATGACATAACTGACCCCTGAACTATGGGAAATGACAAAAAGACAATACAACTCTAGCATTAATAAATATGGTTTGTTTAGGCTTATATGGCTTTAATAATCTCCACTAATACTTCTTGAACCTGCTCAGAATCAAGCATTTTACCTTGAGTTCCCTGCTTATTCATTCAGACATTTCACCATGGGTAAGACATATGAATACATGTAAGCATACACACATGCATGCATACATACATACCTACATACATACATGCATGCACGCATGCGCATATATACGTACGTACTTACGTATACATACGATCGTACATTTGAAAAATATGTACCTTGATGCATGAAGTAACAAGAAGCGCGCCTTTTGTGGCGGTAACGCTCGTATCAACAAGCTCAACGCCTAGTACGCTCATCGCCTCTATCAGCTTCGTAAACCCGCCTGCTTTCTTCCCGAAAACGATCTTCATCCACGACTTATTCTCGTCAATACGAGTCACCTCTACATCTGACTATACACACACATGTCAACATAACATGATCAATCTTAATCATGACCCTTAAATTGCTATCAGTCACGGGTTGTACCTGAGATACAACCCGTGGCTTAAGTTTTATCTTAAAAATCTAACCTCTATCCCCCAATTTTCCATTTTTTCTTCAGAAGGAACTTGTATGATCTCGGAAGGCTGTTCGTGCGCCATTTCCGCTTCCATTTCAACGATTTCGTTCTGAAGATCCGTGACGGAACTTTGAAGCTCCTTGATGTAATCAATGGCATCGGTTATGATCGTTTCTTTGTTCAACTGAAAATCAAGAAAAGTTAAATGTAACGATAATCGAAACACAAGAAACAGTAAATATACGATCGGTGTTGAATCATTGCATTGGTTATTTTCGGAACTAGAGATCGTAATTCTAGCATTCGGGATTTGAGCTTTTCGCGCCTCCGTCTTTCGGCTTTCAAGTTCTTGGACTTGAATTTTCCTTCATGGTTGGTATCATCATCATCATCTTGATCATCATCATCATGATACTGCTGCCTTCTGCTGTTTCTGCAAATCACCCTCTCAAAACTGGTGTGGGTTTCTTCAACCACAGGTGGTGGTGGTGGTGGTATTTGCAGATCAAAAAGGTTGGAAAACTCCATGGATGAATCAGTCCAGAGCTCATGGTTCATTTTTTCTTCAAAATGATGTGAAAAGAATGGTAAAGATTAAATCTTTATAGAGAGATTCTGCAAGAAGTTGATGTGGAAATCTGTTAAGCAACTTGAGTTCACAAGGGTAACATTGCCATGGGGTGGGGTGGGGTGG